TGATGGTAAATTTTGCTGCTGTACACAAAAGAGTAACGGAAAGACTACTTTTGTATACCTCTTATTCTCCTGTGTTTAATTATTTGCCCTATTTGGTGGGTTCTTTCCATTCTCATTCATGGAGTTGTGATCATTTTGCTCCCTCTCTAGAACATCTTTTAGTAGTCTGTATAGACTTGGCTGTGTCATCATGAAATTCTTTAGTTGTTCTTTGTCATGGAAGTATTTCACTTCTCCATTATTCTTGAAAGAGAGTTTTGCAAGATATATCAGTCTGGTTTGGAATTTGTTTTCTTGCAAGACTTGAAGTACTTTGCTAGATGCTCTTCTTGCCTTAATGGTTTGTGAAGAGAAATCTGCTGTTATTCTGATGGATTTTCTTTTAAACGTGATCTGTTTCTTTAGCAGCTTTTAGTATACTGTTCCTATGCTGAATGTCTGAGATCTTGATTATTATATGTCTGGGTGTGGTTTTAATTGGGTTGATGTTATTTGGAGTTCTATATGCTTTGGTTACTGAATGTCAGATTGTTGCCCCATATTTGGGATGTTTTCTGCTATTACTTCCATCCATATTCTTTTAATATCATTATTAACGACTCCTTTCTCATTGATGCCTATTAGTCTCACATTGTTCATCCTTGCATCATCTTGCAGGTATTTAATTATTTTTTCCTGCATCCTAGTTGTTTTTAAGAGATCTTCTCTTACTTTTTAAGTAGCTGCAATAGTGTCTTTAAGGTCTGAAAGTCTGTTCTCACTTTCATTCAAATGGTTTTGCCAGCTTGTGACTGAGGTTTTAAATTCCTGTATATCACTTTGGATCTGCTTCATGCATTCCATTTCTTTCTATATTGTTTATTCAAGGATTCCATCATTTTTATATTCTGTCTCTTTTTTTATCAGTGTCTTCTTAAGAAGCACTTAGTACTTCTTTCATTATAGTTATCATTTCTGTTTTTACTTGAGAAATTATTCCTGATCTGATTTCCTCCATACCTTTGTGCAGTTGTTTCTTCACTTCTAACTATTATTTCTGAGATTTCAGGTGTGTGATTTCCAATTTCTTCTATGCTAGTGTCTTCTTCATTTGTTCTGGGTGGCCTCGGGCATGAGATTACATTTTGTTCCTTCTCTTTGTCATTTTGCATACCACTGTCTTCTGACCTGTAGTGTAGAGCTTAGATAGAGTTATTACCTTAGCACCAGGTCCTGATCTACAAAGTTTAGACTCCTCCAGGTGGGTGTGGCTTTAGTCTGGCTGCTGTGCTCCACTTCTTCTTGCTGCAGCCCTTGGAGTTGAACCCTCTGTGTCAGTCTTATAAGATGTTCTGCTCCTGAATCAGCTGCATAGGTCTTGCTTCTAGCCTCTTTGCAGGGAGTCCTGCTGAAGGGTTCCACGCCAGACCTGGGTTCTGGGTCATTCAGGATCTGGCGGGCCCCAGGTGGTCTTACTCACATGCTAGGCCTGCACTCTGGGTGGAATGAGGATCTGGTGGCCCGGGGTCATCTCATTCATTTGCCAGGCCTGCGCTCTGGGTCGATTCATGGCTTTAGTTTTTATATCTCATTTTTATACTTTTCTCCTGGATTGTTAAGACCAAGATAAAGCAAGACCTATATGGCAAGACATGTAACTTCAAGTCCCCTTAGGATTTATCCTGTAACCCTGTACTGCAGTTTGTAGATCCTTTGTCAGTGTCAGCTGTGTAGATGAGTCACGGCCACTGTTTGACCAATTTGCTCTTTGTGAAAACCTGAGAGAATGTTTTCTCTCCAGGTGACTCTCCTTAGGCACACTCTATGTCATTGATCACTTTCCTCTTTGGCCCCATAATCTCCTTGATTAGAAAATTTTGGACACCAATGAGTTATAGAATGTTACATACAGGTTCTCCTATGTTCTGAATCCTCACTGACCTTGAAAGGCTAGGGCCAAAATGTTGGCTGTCCTTGCAGCCCTTCTTTTTCTCTAGTTTTTGGTCTGCAAACTTAAGTTTTTAACCCTCCAGGACAGAAGCTTAATCATATTATTACCCTATCGCATAGGCAGTTGAGCTTAATCTCACTATCTGTCTGAATATCAAACGTCTTAGACATAACATGGAAAGGTATTTTCCATCAAGTATTGATATGTTAAACTTTATTTTATTTTTTTATATTTTATTTTATGTTTTTTTTTGGTGGAATTGGTGATTGAACTCAGTATATTAAACTTTAAGTCCCTACAGAATGTGAAGAAAAAAAAAGAAATAAAATAAAATAATCAGGAATAAACAATTACATATTTTTACACAGAAATTTAGAAATCTAACCATTTACAGAATTGTAACAGGACGGTCCTTCAACATTTTTGTTTCTTGTTTCTTGTTTTCATTTATTACAAGAGCTCTTGACCCTTTTAGAAAATTTTTTCCTCAAACTTGAGTCGTTTATCTGGTTGGCTGGCCTCCCTTTTTGTTCTGGGTCTGAGATCCTTACTGTGTCCCAGCTGGTCTCAGTCTATGGTGTATAGGCTGACCTTTCTTCAGGCTGACTCATGAGAGGGTAATGAGTTTGGGAAGAGACAGGCACAGTCTAAATGTAGACAGAGTAGGGGTTTCCATGCAGGACTTGTGTGGGAGGGGCACTAGAGACTTGGCTTGGTACTTTATTCACGTGGTAAACAAGCATGTTTGGGGTTATGTGGAAGTGTTGATGGAGATTAAAGAAATTAACATTCCTTTTCATCCACTTATTAGCACACCTTAGGTCCTGTGAGAGGGAAAGGTGGGTCCTAGCTCTGGCTTCCCTCCTGATAGTTGGAAATTGTGACTACCCTGGTCTCTGATTAGGTATTTGCAGCTCCTTACTATCTACTGACTTGTAAGAGGCAAATGTAGTGGTTAATCTTGAGTGTTAACTTGATTGGTTTAAAAGATGTCTGGATTAGTAAAGCACACCTCTGGGTATGTCTGGGTGGATCACAGGCCGTGACCTTCAGAGCCATATCGAATTTCTTGCTCCTTCCTCTTGGCGTCTTTGTTTCTCAGCCTCTTGGTTGCCATGAAGTGAGTAGCTCTTTGTTGCCATCTGTCTGACAGTTGCTACCTGAGAGCCAGCTAACCATGGACTAAACCCTTTGAAACGGTGGCCAAAATAAACTTGTCTTGGTATGTGTGTCAGGTATTTTTCCCCAGCAATGAAAGTTTAGTACAACATCCTTGTGCCTCAAAGGCTGTGTGTGTGTGTGTGTGTGTGTGTGTGTGCACTCATTATCCTCCCAGACAGTGGGGCTGGCCTCTTATCCTCACTTAGTTCCCATAATACCAGCCTTATACATGATTTTTTTCAGTATCAACAGTCACAGTAGTGTTGAGTACTGTTATGTGTGAAGCACTCAGAACACATAGGGGATAAGGTTCTGGGGACTTTCCTCCATGGAACACTCTCTCTCTCTCTCTCTCTCTCTCTCTCTCTCTCTTTCTCTCTCTCTCTTCCCCCCTCTTTCTTCCTCTCTCTCTCCCCCTCCCTGTCTTTCTCTTTCTCCCTTCATCTCTCTCACTTCCTCTCTCCCTTCTTTCCTCCCTCCCTCCTTCCTCTTTCTCCTCTTCTGCTCTGTGTGTGTGTGTGTGTGTGTGTGTGAAAGACAGACATAATTCTCACAGAAAGTGTCAATCGCAGACCTTGGATTCACCTAAGACTACTCCTACACTGGTACCAGTCTTGGTACTTGCCAATCCTACATTACTACCAGGCTTCCCAATTAGCTTCTAGAAGAGTAAAGGCAAATGTCTTGGAGAAAAGTAGTCAAACTAACAGAACTCCCCACTTATTTATCACAAAGTACAACATCACAATTGAACCTGAATCTAGGGCCAGGAAGATAGCTCAGTAGAATAAGCACTTGCCTGGCAAGTGCAGGTCCTGAGTTGAATCCCCAGTACCACACACACACAGAAAAAGAATTCACAAACCCGAATATTGAAGATTTAGTTTAGAAAAAAAACCCAACTCATAATTAACATCTTGTGTTTTAAGAGAAAAACAACACATGTGCCCTAGGTTTTCCACTACTTCTCTATGCTTTGGAAAGATTATGAACTTCTGTAAGACAG